TGGTTTTTACATTCTCTTCCACTAAACACCAAAATAATTTTCTGTAATCATTCTTTAAAAATAAGTACAAATCATTATTTTCTTAATTTGTACTCTAAGTTTATAAAAACAACAATTTAAGGAGAATAATTTTTAAACTTAAATATATTCAAATTTGATACAGTATATCATGAATTAACCTAAATTCGCATTTAACAAAGAGATCACATCTCACAGTTTGCAGTATGTTTTAAATTTGAATGATTCAAAATCACTAGGAATAAGGTCATGTGTATGAGGGGTGGGGTCTAACTGCACATGTACAGATATGTATGAACATATGTACACATACAAAAAACAAAACCAAACATGTTACTGTTGAATTGATTTCAACTCATGGCAGTCCCATGTGTTACAGAGTAGAACTATTCCAGAGAGTCTTCTTGGCTGTATTCTTTAAGAAAGCAGATTGCCAGGCCTTCTGAAACATTGCTCGGTGGGTTCAAACCACCAACCTTTGGAATAGTAGCTAAGGTAAAACCATTTACACCACTCAGGGACCTGGAATAAATGTATATATAATAGAAACCCAATGGTAACTTAACGATGTTTAGAACTTGGACTAGCAAAAGACTTTGATGGCAAGAGTATTTTATCATTGATACTGTTTAGAATTGCTGGCATCTGGTGATAATAAAAAGTATAATAGCTCTCAGTTGGTTTTCTAATAGTATTTAATTCTCACCAGAATATGTAACCCCTTCTAGCTTGCACTCACAAAGCAATTAGGATATGTCATTAACATCCTATTTGGCAAGTGTTTACTAAATACATGTTTCATAATTAATGAGTAACTAAAAGTACAAGATGAAAGTGATAAAAGTCTTTAGAAAGACATAGGTTGAGAGCCAAGGAATTTGAGTCTCCTTTGAAATTTCTTTACACTGGAGAAAATAAGGAAAGAATTCACTGAAGTCTTAGATTTAACACTAAGTCTTAAAAAGATGGGTGGAGATCAAATATGTAAAGGTTAGTCTACATGTTGAAAACTAGGAGGGAAAGAGAACAGGTGGAAAAATCCAAGCTATAGATGGAACACTAGGACTAATTTGGGTAAATTGTGACTGGGATAAATTGAAGTAGTAGAGGATAATATTGTGAAAGTCAGCTGTAGTAATATCAAGGAAAGTTTTAAAGTAAGGCCAGTGTGTTTATACAGTATTAAATATACAATAAAGAATTACTAGAACATTTAGTAATTAGCAAAGCAAAATAATGAGAGTTTGAAGAAATTGAATATATAATATACTCTATATAATCTACTAATAAGCATGTCTGTAATTCCTCTTCAAATGTTGTTATATGGTGCTTCTACCCTTGCTCAATAATAATACTGCAGCTAGCTACTGGATGAATTTAGATACCTGAGGATACGAGAACAGATTTTATGCAAACATAATTTTATTTTTAATGCTAATATCCACAGATCAGTTTATAACTGTAAATCTAAATGCTTAATATCATTGAATGGACAAAAATAATTGTTTCCTTTTAATATAATATGAATTCTGTGTAGGAGTAGGATTGCAGTGGGATAATGCATATCTGAGATTATTCAAAAAGAGATTTCTTAAATGAATTTAATTAAATTAAAGAATTTTTAGTTACTTAATTTAAAAATATAACGTAAGTTATCATTTTTCTCATAACTCTTGGTTTTTATATTTTTAAATTCACATATCTAGCCTTTAAGAAGCTCTGGTGGTGCAGTGGTTAAAGCATTTGGCTGCTAATGAAAAGGTCAGTGGTTCAAACCCACCAGCAGGTCTGTGGGAGAAAAATGAGGCAAGGCACTCTACGTCTGTGAAGATTTACAACCTGAGCAGTGCCCTTCTGTCCTAGAGGCTCTCTAGGACTATGCTTATGAGTTGGAATCCACTCTATGGCAGTGGATGGGTTATCTAGGCTTCATAGTGTCTCTTCAGAACGCTAATTAAAATTTTCATGTATTCTCTTCACATATTTATGGTATTTATAAAATATCCCTTGCCTGTATTTGTATTTTTTGAGATGGGTGATAATGAATACTAAAAATACTTTTGATTCAATATACATAAGGAAACATATCAGCTACCATAACCATGCCAGGGACTTTGGTTTACTGCTATACCCCTAACATGAAATGGTTGCTCAAATTATGTTTTTACTGCCTAAATAAACATATATGGTCCATTCACTCAACAACATTCCTTTAACAGGTGTGCTCATTACTACTTTATCATAAAATATGACTAATCACATTCTTTTTTAAAATTCTATGAGAATGTGAAGATTTGTTGAACTGGCAAATGTTTTGTTACCCATGTATTTACCACAATAAACAACAATTCAATTAGATAAAAGTGACAACAAATATCCATTCTCAAAAACTGTCCTTTTTTTTCTGTTGGCAATTATCACCTCCTTCCATGGAGATACTGCCTGGGAAGCCCAAGGAGGGGTCTCTATGAGTCCCAAACGACTCCATGATAGGGAGTTTGTTTTTTTGTTTTGTTTTTGAATCCCATAATAAAGATAACCATGAAAAATTCTTCTAGCTCCAGATTTGTTGGGATAGAAAAGGGATTTAAACTGCACTTTATTTTTTACCCTGACAAATGAAAATTGCAATCCTTTGAATTGAATCTTTTGAATCTTTAAATTTTCTTGCCTACCCATCCAGCAATTCTTGCTGGCCCCTAGAGGGAAAAAAAGATTTAAAAAAAAAAAAATCAGGTCAAAGATGAAAGCCAATAAGGAAACAACACACAGTAGTGCCCCCTGATCAGAGGTTTCGCTTTCCGAGGTTTCGGTTACCCGGGGTAAACCACGGTGGAAAATATTTCAATTGCCTGCCATTCTAAGTAAGCCTGATGAAATCTCACACTGTCCGCTCCGACCTGGAGCCGGCTTCCTTCCTCTTCCTTCCTCCACGGGGCTCGAGCCTGGAAAACATGGTGGAGCGAGCAGCTGCGCAGCGCCGTGCCAGCGTCAGAGGGATTAACGCTGCCTGCCTAGG